CTGTGGTCCCAGCTACTTGGGAGGCAGAGGCAGGAGACTCCCTTGAGCCCAGGAGTTGGAGGTTGCTGTGAGCTGTAATGCCACGGCACTCTACCCAGGAGGACAGCTTGAGGCTCTGTCTCAAAAAACAAACAAAAAAAAAGAGTATTCCCAGCAACATACTTACCTAGCCGATTCCGGGACATAGGAGACAAGGGGAGGATATCATATCGAACAGTTTGGTACTGAATTACCTAAGAATAGCAAGAGAGAGATTAAAACCCTTTGACAAGAAAGTCTTCTCCAATAACAATAAAAGGTAGCATGTACTGAACATTTACCAGATGTACTGTTTATGATTTAGGATTATATCATTTAATACTCCAAATAACCCTAAAAATATTATCCCTATTTTTTTGGTTTCTTTTGTTTTTTTTGAGACAGTGTCTCACTTTGTCACCCCCAGTAGAGTGCCATGGCATCATGGCTCTCAGCAACCTCAAACTCTTGGGCTCCAGTGATTCTCTTGCCTCGGCCTCCCAAGTAGCTGGGACTACAGGTGCCTGCCACAACACCTAGTTATTATTATTTTAATTTTTTTTTTTTTTTTTGAGACGGTCTCACTATGGTGCCCTCAATATAATGCAGTGGCGTCACAGCTCACAGCAACCTCAAACTCTTGGGCTTAAGCAGTTCTCTTGGCACAGCCTCCCAAGTAGTTGGGACTATGGGCACCCGCCACAATGCCCAGCTTTTTTTTTGTTGTACTTGTTATTGTTGTTTGGAAGGCCCAGGCTAGGTTCAAATCCGCCACTGCCAGCCCCAGTGCATGTGGCCAGCGACTCAGCCGCTAAACTACAGGCAACAGGGTCTCTCTTTTGCTTAGGCTGGTCTGGAACCAGTGAGCTCAGGCAATCCACCTGCCTCAGCCTCCCAGAGTGCTAGGATTACAGGTGTATTATCCCTATTTTAAGGATGAAGAAACCAAGGTTTGGAGGGGTTAAATACCTTGCCGAGGCCACGCAGCTAGGAATTATCTTATTTGTCTCCCCAATTAGAATGAAAATTCCATGGAAACACAGATTTTGTCTCAATCATGGCTGTATTCCCAGTGCTTAGAACACTGTAGCAAGGGTGGTCAGTGACTATTAATAGAATCAATGAAATGGTGGAGCCAGGATTGTATCTATACAGTCTGACCCAAGAACCTGCCCTCTTAACCATGGTACTATCCTGCTATGCTGAACAAAAAAACACACAAGCCCCCCCCCCCACCTTTGCTCCAAGAATTCTTTGTGGCAACTTCCATCCTCTCACACTAGGAACTGAGAGTCTCAGATTCCTTAGTGGACATGGAGAGGAGGTCCCTGGATCCCTCTTGGGAACAAGGGATGAGGGAATCCAAAGGTCGTCAGGTCAGCTAAGTTCCTCTGGCTAGGGGCCACCAGACCTATTTTAACCAGCCACCTGTCCACATCTCTCTCCCTCAGCCAAGTCACAAGTTGCAGAGAACCTCAGCCCTTCGAAAAGCCTCCTTATCCTGGTACCTAGGGCAAGGCAGAGAACACAGGAAAGCCTCGCCTGCCAAGCTGACTGATAGGGCATGGAGAGGGCCAGAGGAAGGACTGTAGAGTGAAAGGTGAAGAAAGGACAAAAACATCACATCCATCAGCCTTCCAGCTCTGCTTCTCCAAGCCATCTCTAGAGACTCCTATTTCCTAATGCTCAGATCTCCTCATGCAAAATCTGGCAATTCCCTCCTCTGCACAGTCCATTCCTCACAGGCCCCGTACCACACTAAAACCAGGTTCTTCCCTTACAAATGAAGGGGCCCTCTCCCCCTATTCTCAAAGGATCTGCCCTTCTTTTCTCCCTGGGCCATGATGAGAGCCACTTGGGTGTCCTGCCCTGCCATCTCGGGTTGCATATGCTGGGCATGTGGGGAATGCTCCAAGCATCTGTCAGAAAGGGAGTGGGGGAAGAAACCAGACTGGACGCAAAGAGAGGACAAAAAGTGCTGCCCAGCTTGGCGCCTGTGGCTCAAGCGGCTAAGGCACCAGCCACATACACCTGAGCTGGTGGGTTCAAATCCAGCCCATGCTCGCCAAACAACAATGACAGCTGCAAACAAAAAATAGCTAGGCTCTGTGGTGGGAGCCTGTAGTCCCAGCTACTTGGGAGGCAGAGGCAAGAGAATCGCTTGAGCCCAGACGGTAGAGATTGCTGTGAGCTATGAAGCCACAGCACTCTACCAAGGGCGACAGCTCGAGGCTCTGTCTCAAAAAAAAAAAAAAAATACTGCCCAAAGAGGAGCAATTTTGGAGATAACTGCCCTGTGGATGGACTGGAGCACTACTCTCTCCACCTGGAATACTGATGTGTTAGGGAGAGGTCAGAGAAGATAGCAGTCATCCCATAAAGAAAACCCCAGGAGCTACCCACACACACATATCTCAGCACCTCTGATCCTAAGGTTTTCTTGGCTTCTAGGTCATGTAGCAAGGAAATAGCACTGCCCACAAACACAACCATCCTGAACAGTCTTAACCCTAAATCAAGAAGTAGAAGGAATAGATTGGTTTAAAAAAAGAAAAAGAGGCCAGACCCATTCCCCCAAATCAGTTAAGTCAACCACCACTACCACCCGGGGCTTTTTGGAAAACTGTCTTGACCTAGACACCCCTACCTGGTTTATTCTTTCAGATTTTATTGGGGTATACCAAAGAGTACAGACTAAGAATCTCTGTACCCCAGCTCACTAAATTCTCCCCAGACTCCAGAAGATTCTCCCCAGTGTTGATGAGAACAGAAGGGCACATTCATTAAATGATGTTAGCTGAAGGCGCTCTGACCTTGAAGAAAAACTATGGGGGAGGGAACCCAGAGATACTTGGATACATCCAAATTCTCCACTTCCCCACCCCCAGTATCCCATATAATGCTAGGATCCGCTTGGAGAACAAGTGTGCCCTCAGATTCAGGCCCTACAACTGACCAGTGCTGTCTTCTGACAGGGATGCCTGAACTGTAACGTGCTCCCTCCCACAACTAAAGAAGCCCACCATAAAAGTATCCTCTTTACTCTTTAGGGTCTCAATAAATCCCGATACCCACAATCAGACTACGAAATAAGTTTTCAGAGCCTTTTTGTAGGAGTTCCTTTAATGGGAACCGCAGGGGTTCTGCTCATCCAGAGCTTTTCTCAAGTTCCCATCCTTGTTTGTCACATATGCCCTCCAACCTTCCCCGACCCTTAACACATGAGCCTGTCTTTCCCTGGTTATGAGAACAAACACACACAGAGATTACAATAGAAGGGTCTTTCACAACCCCACTTCAACAGATCTGGCTGCCATCAAACAGGTGTTCCCCGCCTCTTGGTTTCTTTAGCAACAACTCCAGCTTCCCAAAAGAGCGCCCCACCCACCACCCCTAGTCCCCAAGAGTTGCCAAACCTTATCCCATCTAGGCCCATCACAACCCCCCAGGTCTCGGTTCTATTGCAAGGGTTTCCCTCTTCCCCACCCCAGGCCCTGCTTAAGGTCCCCTAATTCTCCAGTGGAAAAAGCCCCCGCCAGGATTCCCTTCCTAGGCCCAGAGGCTTGACACTTTCCGAAAACCTATGAGCACCGCGGACAGAGGTCCCCACCACCGTCCCAGGCTCACCGTGCGGATCTGCCTCCGCAAAAGGTAAATGAAGAAACTCCATAGCTTGGCGGCGAAGGCCACGAACGTGCGCAGCCCCAGCAGACACTGCGTCCGCATCATCCCGATGACCCCGGCACCGCCGGCCCCGGGGCCCCCGCGGCCCAGCTCCGCCAGCCCCCCGGGGGCAGCCCCCCGCCACCGGGAGGGAGAACGGGTGCCCCGAATGGCAGGAGAAGCTGCAGAAAGGAGCAAGCAGCAGGCGGCTCAGAAAGCCACCCCTGGCGAGGGAAAAGCCCAGAGGAACGGGGAGCTGGGGGACAAGCGTGGGCAGCCCGCGGGGGCCCACATGGGCAGGGAGTGGCACCGACGGTTCCGCGAAGGTTGCCAGCCGAGATACGTCGGGCTAGGAAGGGGTCCTCCGAGACCGGGAGGGAAGGGGAAGGATAATTAGGGGAGGGGGCTGTAGGGGAGGGGGCTAGGGAGAAGGAAGGGAGGGAGGAAGGGAGAAGGGAGGGGGAGGGGGAGGGAGGGAGAAAGCAAAGAAAAGGAAAGATAAAGAAAATAAAGGGAGGGGAAGAGGAAAAGCGGAGAGTGGCTCGCTGCGCAGGCGCGCTAGGGGGCTGCCCGCGGGAAAGGGGCGGGCGGGGGCAGCTGCGCGCGAAGGGCCGCAGTCGCGGAGACCGGGCCTGCTACGCGAAAGAGCGGAGAAGGAGGGGGAGGGGGAGCCGAAGGGGGCGGAGCGCTAGGCTGGAGCGGCCTCCCCCTCCCCGAGCTCGGGGGTCCTTTAGCTGCTGGAGAGCGGGACTGCAGCCTCTGCAGCTGAGTTTCCCACTCTGACAGGCGCCATTTTACTGCCCAGAGGGCTCCCTCATCTCTTCCCCCCTCCTCTTCCCCTCTGACACTACTTCCGGTGGTGACGTGTATTCGCTTCACCACAACTAAAGTTCTCCCTATTCTGCCTATGGGGGGAGGGATAGGGAAAGCCGAGAGGGCACCGAACAAGGCTACAGTATTGCGCACGCGCAGAAGGTAGCTGAGGGGCGGGATTTGGGCAGGCCCCGCCTGGAACGGCGTGGACGTCTCTGGGTGAACGCCCCTTGCTGCGGTGGTCAGGACTGTGGCGGCGGCCTCGTGGGGATTTCTCCTCCCCTTTCCATTGACAACCGCCCCAACGGCTCTTCCCGCCCTTGTTGCAGTGGCTATGTAGACCATGATGTGGTCCCTACAAATGTGCGCCAGAGCTTGGGCGTATACCCTACATTGAGCTCCTCCAGGGAATATTGAACGTAATTACCTCTCTTTCCAGCCTATGTTAGGTCTTAATGGTGGGAGGAATCAATGACCCGCCCCTTTCATCTGGAGGGGGCGGGCTGTGGGTCTTGACGCCATCTGGGAGCGCCCCAGGGGAGACCCGGCGCAAGTCGGAGATGCTGGACTCGCTGTTAGCCTTCGGCGGCCTGATGCTGCTTCGGGGTGAGAGCTGGAATCACAGGGGGTTCCGGGCCTGGCAAGGGGGACCGAAGAGGAGAGGAGGACCCATGCGTCACCGACTAGGGGCAGAAGTCATGACAGGTTGGTGAGGGCGGAAACTCCCCTGTTCTCAACCTTCCATCCGTCCTTTGCTCTCTTCAGATAGCGTAGAATGGGAAGGGCGCAGTCTTTTGAAGGCGCTTATCAAGAAATCTGCGCTGTGGTGAGTATCTTTCAGTCTCCGGGTCCTACCTTAGAAAGGGAGCTTGTGCACCAATCTTTGACCTGACCTCCCGTCTCTGCCTCAGTGGGGAGCAAGTCCACATCCTGGGCTGTGAAGTGAGCGAGGAAGAGTTTCGTGAAGGTTTCACCTCGGATATCAATAACTGGTAAGCCCAACTTGGCGAAATTTCATTAGATGTGAGACTTCTGTTACTAAGACTCTTTATAGTAACAAGCACAAACGTTGGTATATAGTAACAGCTACTTAAATAATCATCGAAGGACGGGATATGGATCTTTCAGAAAGCAAAAGTCAGTAAGAGGATGGCTTGGCGCCTGTGGCTTAAGTGGCTAAGGCGCCAGCCACATACACCTGAGCTAGTGGGTTCGAATCCAGCCCGAGCCCGCCAAACAATGACGGCTGCAACCAAAAAATAGCAGGGCGTTGGCGGGCACCTGTGGTCCCAGCTACTTGGGAGGCTGAGGCAGGAGACTCGCTTGAGCCTAGGAGTTGGAGGTTGCTGTGATGTCATAGCACTCTACCCAGATGGACAGCTTGAGGCTCTGTCGAAGAGAGGTATTTGGGAAATCTGAAGGAGAGATCATAGAAATTGTACCTGATTGTATGTGGTCTTAGAGAGCATGAAAAGGAGTTTAGATGTTACAAAGACAGTGAGGAGTCGCTTGAAAATTTGGGAGAAGAGTGATAATACCATACTCATTAGAAACACTAGTGTGGGCTCGGCGCCTATAGCTCAACCGGCTAAGGCGCCAGCCACGTACACCTAAGGTGGCGGGTTCGAATCCCCAGCCCGGACCCGCCAAACAACAATGACGGCTGCAACCAAAAAATAGCCGGGTGTTGTGGCGGGCGCCTGTGGTCCCAGCTACTTGGGAGGTGGAGGCAGGAGACTCGCTTGAGCCCAGGAGTTGGAGGTTGCTTTGAGCTGTAATGCCAGGGCATTCTACCCAGGGGGATAGCTTGAGGCTCTGTCTCAAAAAAAAAAAAAAAAAAGAAACACTAGTGTGTTGACAATGGTATAGGGAAGAAATTGGAAGAGGGCACCCTGGAGACAGGAACCATGTGGGAAGGTTAATGCAGTAATCTATTAATTCAAATTCAATCATTAGGTGTAAACCAGGTGCTGTGCTAGAAACTGGAGACAGCAATGAATGAGACAGACCTGTTCCCTGCTCTAATGAACCTTAGAAAATAATGGTAGAACATAACAGAGGCCTGGAGAATTAAGAATAAGTGTAAAAGGACATTAGTGGGAAAATAAAAGGATGTTAGTGGGTAGGACTTATTGATTGATGTGAAGCAGAAAAAAGTATTCAGATGTGCCTGGCCAGGATTGATTAACAACCATTAGTAGCCTGGGCACTTTGACTCATACCTGTAATCCCAGTAACTTTGAGAGGCCAAGCAAGAAGATCGCTTGAAGCCAGGAGTTCGAGACCAGCTTGGGCAACAGAAGGAGACCCCTATCTCTACAAAAAAGTTAAAAATTAGTTGGGTGTGGTGGTGTGTATTGTAGCCTCCAGCTACTCAGTAGACTAAGGAGAAGATCACTTGAGCCCAGGAGTTATAAGGCTATAGTGAATTAATGATCACACCACTGCACTCTAGCCTAGATCACAGAACAAGACCATCTCAAAACAAAAAAAAAAGAAACAAAAACCATTAATAGGGGTGGCACCTGTGGCTCAAGGAGTAGGGCACCGGCCCCATATACCAGAGGTGGCGGGTTCAAACCCAGCCCTGGCCAAAAAATAAAAATAAAAACAAAAACCATTAATAGAATGCTTTCTACTTCCTAGTTTTGGCACCTCAGTGGATAATAGTAGTGTACATATATCTGTTGAGCTCTAATTTTATGTGTCAGCCATGAAGAAACTCCAGAGATTGGCAGTGAAGGCCACAGTTGTGATAGGTGGTGCCATATGGCAAGTTATGCTACCATGAAGATGTCCCAGGATTTCTAGTCCATACCAATCTCCCTTTTCAAGCTGAGTTCTATAACTTAATCTTTGACTTTCTCTAAGTTGTTCTGTAAGTGGGAATCATATCTTCTGCTTTCCCGTTATTAATCCTGAGAATGATAGGGTACCACTCAGGAAATGTTTGATAATGGTAACAGCTGGTATTTATCTAGCATTTAATATGTGTCAAGTACTATGCTAAGTGCCTAGAGGTTAGCATCTCCATTTCATAAATGAAAAAATTGAACCTTGGCTCGGTGCCTGTGGCTCAAGTGGCTAAGGCGCCAGCCACATACACCTAAGGTGGCGGGTTCGAATCCCCAGCCCGGGCCCGCCAAACAACAATGATG